TATTTAAAACTCATTTCAATTACACATCACCAAACATTTTGATGTGATCTTACATTTTGAGATTGCAGCTGCAGATTTTGTATCGAATCCGAGGATGAGAGTGAGCATAGGAACGAATATCCCACCGCCTCCAACGCCACCAACCGTCCCACACGCAGATCCTAGGAACGCTATTACAGTAGCTACCACAAGCTTCCAACTAAACTTCAAATCCTACTTTCACATTTTTTATACACAAAAAGGCAAAAAAAGAAAAGTCAAATTCCACTTTTTGAGATTCTTCCAAAACCCCACTTTTGTATATGATTATAGTAACTATACTTTCAATTTCAATCCAGAAAGACTGGAGATTTTAGATTCTTCCAAACTTTAGGGTAAAAACTCTGTTTTTTTTATAATGATGTAACGTAAGAAAATTGAATCTCCCATTTTTTTTTCATTAAGAAATCATCTGTTTATTCAAATGGATTTGACTATTTTACAATTCAAAATGATATTTTTATAACGTAAATTAAATTAAAGATTCCAGGTGAATCATGAGGGAATTAAGAATAAGAATATTCAGATGAAAGGCTGACGTCAAAAAGAAAAAAAGAGGAGACTTTTAATTACCGGCCAAACTTTATCGGTGACAGAGACCGGAGAAGACGACGAGAGACGATGAATATTAGGGTTTGTATCTCCGACGTAAGAAACAGAGAAGACGGCGACCGAAAAACCCACGAGAAGATAGAGGATAAATCCTCCGGTGCCTCTCCCAATCCACAATCCCATTCTTATTCTTCTATATAAGCCCTAAATAATCGTCGAGCTTGTCTTAAAAACACAAATTATGGGTTTTCTTTGTGTGTTTTTTCTTTGGTGATGAAGCAGAGAGAACCGTCCTTATAAAAGCAGAGTCATAGATAGAGGTGAAGACGGAGATAGATTGAGAGTTTTATCGACTATACTCTTGTGTATATTATTAGCATATACTACTGTTGTGATAAGCTTACACGTGGCAGGATCTTTGGATTTGAGAAA